TGTAGTCGGCAATCATTCGTTTTGGTACAGAGTGGGACAGGTAGGGGGTGATGTTGCTGTAGTCGAACGGTGAGACGGACGTGTAGTTCAGTTTTGGGCACGCGTACGGTGCTGCAGGGATTATATATAGGTGTAGTAGTACCTCTTCGGGCTCTTGGATACCTTTTTCTTGCTACGTGTGCGTGTTCTTTAGATCCTCAGATGGCTCTAGCACTTTCGTGACCACGGGCCGAGAGTCTTTGCTAGATTTTGGCATTTAGCAACTGGCATACGGTTTAATGTGAAGTCAACAAAAACAACAACAACAACTGCTGACCCTTGGGGTCCTTCCGAAAGGCACCCCCCCAGGCTGGTGGTGCGCACGTTCCACTATTTATTTATTTATTTGTTTCTGATTCTTTTGTTTTCTTGTATTTTATCGCTCTGCTAACCCTTGGGGTCCATTTTATTTTGGTAACCTTTTCTAGGTACTTTAGCCTGTGACCACGGAAATTGACCGAGTCAAGTGCTGGATTAGTACGGAGAGATTGAGACAGAACGAGGTACTGGATAGAGAGACCGGGATGGTTTTTAATGTGAAGACAACAACAACAACAACATACCGGCACTATAGCCGGGCCCAGTACTGTACCAATCTCCGACAGCCTCCGCCGTAGATCGCGGGGAAACAAAAAAAACGCTGTGTCCAGTCCTCGGAAGCATATGGTGCATGAGGCAGGTCGTGCCCGTTTTGTCTCCCTGTGCCTTTCTCTGTGTGCATTTGCTGATCAGCACCACACCGAACGAACTCGCGCGTCAAGCTAGTCCGACCCTCTGTCGAGAGGGGGCGGTATCTCATGGAGGCGCTATCAACGAGCGTTGTTGTTGGTTTGGTTGAGGGTATGTATGTGCGGTACACGCTTTTTTCTGTGAGTTTTATGCTACATTCGTCGGGAGCCGGAATCATGTGACCATTGCTGGGTACGAAATCGGCCCCTTCCGGGTACAATATCATTCAGTATCGGTTACACTAGAGGGTCGAGATGCCAGCGCCGGTTGCACCCGATGGAGGTTTCTCCAAAAGTGGGTACGATGGTGTTTCGGCCAATCAGCTGGCTGCCTGGGGGTGCATATATGTTGAGTTCTAAGTGTGTACCCTCCAATGAGTGGTGATAACCCACCCGGGTATACCCGTTCTACGTTGTGTACCCATTTTATTTTTTTTGCCTTCAGACAGTTGCAGATGTACCTCAGAAAACTTTCACTTGATGTCTCATACTCTACATGAATATTCAACCAATACGAAGTACAACAACATATGTAGGACTTATTTCTACTGTCACTTACATCGTAAAAATATCTCCTCTTCAATTTGAAATAAAACCAATGGCAATCCTCATGGTATCCTACATGCGTTCGAAAGCTATCTATCATGATAACCCACCCGGGTATACCCGTTTCTGGGTATTGGTCGTCCAACAATACAAACAGTTTTTCTCCATCTAAGGTTCGTGCCTAGAGTTCAGCTGTAGTGTTTCAACCAAAGTTTTGTTGACTTAGAGGCAAACATTCCTAGCTATTGGGCATCGAGTCAATTTGGCTTGGCATGACGGCCTTTACGATCGGCTTTTTATGTATGCACAGGTAGACAAATGGCTACCCACCCATATTCCTCTGAGGAAAAATAATCCTCGAGAGGATTTGAAATCATCTGGAGGATATTTAATCCTCCAGGGGATATGCGCACAATATACTCCGAGGAAAAACCCAAACATTACTCGGAGGGGAGAAAATCGCCCCCCCCGGAGGATGTAAAAACAATAATCCTCCCGAGGGCACCGATACAGCATCCTCTAGGGCATCGACTAGAAACCGTTGCTCTGGGGGGTACGTTTGTGACGTATTCCTCGGAGGGTAGGCAACTGATGTCCTCCGAGGATTTGAAAGGACGATATTCTCAGAGGGAAGATTTTAGCATCCCTCCAGAGTATCACCCGAAATGAAGGTACTCTAGAGGATTTACAGGAAGCGTATCCCCGGGGGCAACATTTTCTCTTCCCTCCGAGGGACATATTCGAACGAACCCTCAGAAGGGGAAAGAATCAGCATCCTCCAGGCATTAAATAGGAAGGAATTTCCTTGGAGGGAAAAATGAAAATGCCCAACAATTCCTCGAGGAACAATAATAGGGTGTTTGCGAACATCGGAATTCGATTTGATTTCGATCTTTTTTATCCACCCAAGCGCCGAAGACCGCGGGATCTTTAGGAATTTGATCTTTCGCTTTTACGAATTGCCCTCAAAGACCGCAGAAAAGATCAAATTCCATCTTGCTTGCATCTATCTTTTTGGGAACAGTTTCTGGTTGGCCTATACTCCCCGAGATACTCCCGACGTTGTCCGGACACATGCCGCACCAGCCCGTGAGGCTAGCTATGCACCCACACCTCGGCCGTGATACACACTACCATGGCGAGCCAGCTACAGTACCGCAAGACAGTTAGACAGTCGTCACTGCACGCCAGACCCGGTGCAATGCATGCTGCCGATATGGTGCATTTGCGCCCTTTGAACCGCAGCATACCGTTCTACATGCTAATCTTGAGTGACACACCAAGTCGGCGTGACGAGGATGACGGCGATGCTGCGAGCGGCATAGATCTTAGGAGTGCTGCACAAGCGGAGGCGGAGGTGACGGGGTTAGGGATGCTTCAAGCGGCGTGGGAGCGTGAGGAGCTGCTGCGCGTGCGTCCTGTGGACCGTGCTCCGGTGATGCGTCTGTCGCGGACGATCGACTCCGTTGATGACTGAGACGCGTATCACTAAACCGCGGGGCAGCGCTAGTAGGAGGAGGAGGTCCTTGGCCTTCGTGCTGTGTGTTCACCGAAACTCTGGCGAGGGGAGCGGCCCTCGCCGGAGGACTCGTGTTGCCATGAACACCCGGCAACTGAACCGGGCCAGCCTTCTCATGAGTACGTTGACCTCCATCGTTCTCCATGATTGTTTAGCAGCGGTTGTGAGTGTAATGTGGTGGTAGCCTTGCGGTGGGGGTGGAGGCGAAAGGTCTGATGTAGGTTGTGCCGAGCGGGACCAAGTCTGCTGCCGAAAAGAGCCGAAAAGGGGGCTCCCCCGTAGTCATCGGGGTTGACGCACAAAAGTGGCAAGGGGTCAGAGCGCGGCCCACGTATGAGATGCGCCATCCTCGCCACTGGCGCATTCGTGAAGTCGAACAGGTGGACGAAGGACAACGGGGAGGTCGTCCCCTATACCCCAACCACCACCAACTGCCACGCCAAGAAGGCCGTTTACGAGTTGATGCGCTATGTGGGCAGCGTGGCCATTTCGGACAAAGATGTCCAAAGTGAGCGAACATGGTAGTCCTGGGAGCAACATTTTTTTTCCTTGTGCGTTCAAACATGTCACGAGCCCGGCAGCCGATGTCAGGTGTACCCGCTCGACTGCAAGTCCCTGCGCGTTCGTATGTTGACTCGTCTGCATTTCATAGAGCCACAAAGTGTTGAGGACGTTGCGCTAGAGTGCCATCATTGATTTGCAACGCGAGGTGAGCACCCGCGGATGGCGTTTTGTATAAGTCTCCCAAGAAAGTGACCATAAAACATATGTCCGGTCAATCACCAGCCGCGTGTAGCATGGCCGAAATTTCAGTTGTAAATTAATATGACAACGTTCGGCGTGTGATTGTTTCCATTCCGTCATAACACGCACACCGCTTCTGCCTGCCCGCCTCACGCCTGCATGCGTACGACTGCTTCCTGTGCCTTCCTCCATGTCTGCTTTATATACGTTCGGCCTGTCCTTGTGGGACTTGGGAAGTGACGTGGCGGTTTCTTGGACAAGATCCAGGAGGGCAACCCGTGTGGCTTCCCTCGTCCACTTCACGTGCTCTGCGCGGCGAGCAGTACGGCCGCCGGCAATCATGGCGGTTCGTCATGAGCATGTTCCCGATGGCGAGACCGACGAAGGCTTCGATGAGATGCTTAAGACAGTCGAGTGGCAAGTAAACTGTGTGCTGGTGGAAAAGGGCAAGAGCGTCTACGAGCACGCCCAGAGGTTTTTCGTTGCCACGTGAGTAAAGCTTTCACGTATTATTGTGCCGCGTGCGACAACTCCTTCATTTGGGCAGGGAAATTCTGCTGCTTGGCTCTTAAACGGATTTGTGCCTGGTCCTGTTTGTTTTTATCTGTCGTTCGTGCGGGGGTACGTATGCATCAAGAGTGGAAATGAGAGACCAGGTAACTCTTCCGTCCTACACCGTATGTTGTTGTCTCTTGTCGGTGTTGGCGCCCTCGCACAAAAATGATAAGGATCTGGGAGACCGGGTATCGGTTCCAGTTCGGCCCGGGAAGGATTGCCAGCAAACTTCTGGACAAGAACGTTTCGGACATTACGGAGCAAGACGCCGTCAACGCCTTCATCCCATACCTGGACAGTGAGTCTGCCATAGGATTCCCTTCAGCATCGTCGATTACATTAGTGTTTCAGCTCTTTTTCTTTTTTTTGCGCAAGGTATTTCCGTCTCGGCCATCTCCCTGTCTTTTGCCCCCAGGTTCCGCGGGAATGCGGGAACGTGTCGAATTTTTTGCTACACCGCGTGTTGCAGTTTCCCTTGATTAGCTTCCCGCCTCTCCCCCCCGACTGNTAGCCATTGGAGTTTGTCAAACACGCCCATCACTTCGTGAGCTCAACAAGGAAGATACCCGTTGCTTTTTTTTCGCTCCTGTTTTTTTTTTTGGCGGTGATCATGATGGTGGTCGAGTAGATTTTGGTGTGCGGGGTCGAAAACCTCACTTGGAGCAAAGGAGCTGATCACATTGCGCGTCTTTACTTGGTCACGTACCCTCGAGGCACTTTTACGCAGCGCTTACAGCTGTCTCTGAAAAAGGAAACGGCAAAACATTTATTAAGTCATTCGCAGCTGTTACCCGAATTCAAAGGAAGTAAGCACAAGATGCCGAACACCCTTCGCGGGATGCAGCGCACCCTCCATGCGACTCGGTATTTCACGGCTCTTTCCGCTTGGTGATTGCGAGCCTGGTCCGGCGAGAACCTGGCGTGCTCCGTCCCGGCATTGTAGGGGTGCGAGGCCAATGGTCTAACGACTACGGTTATGGTTTGGGTCAGGGATACTCCGGGCTAGTGGTAACGAAACGTCAGCTGTCCTGCGATTTTTCCATGAGTGTTATTTCACCAACAATTATTACTCCCCGACCGGAAATCATATTTCACTAGACCACGGTAGATTCACACCAAGACGTGTGTGGTGGTGATTGTTGTAGTACATTCGCCCTGCCTATTGAGAGAGTAGCACAAGTTTTTGAATCTCGAATGCATCCACTAACCGCACCAAGCCGGTAGTTCTTGTCCCCGCGTGTTTGCGTGCGATCGCAAGCAGCGAAGTCAATATGGTGCTAGCAAAGTGCCCCATCCTCTAACACCATTCCATCAAAATATATCTTCCTCTTGGTGACCGTTTTGTTCCGCGCTGGTTCCCTTTCGTCTACCCCCCTTCCCCAAATCTTCGGTACGCACAAACCCCACCAACGGTCCGGGCTTCGACGACGACGGCAACTAAATTGCCGGCGAAGAAGACGGCAATGGCTTGGGAGGCGATGGCTCGGGCGGCGATGGCTCGCGCGGCGACCGCGGCACCAATCGCGGTAACGTCGAGGCGGGCGAGCAGCGTGGTGCTGACGAGGATGCAGTCCTCTCCGAGCGCACCAACAAAGTAATGACGGATGAAGGAGGGGCATCAGGTAGTGGTGTTCGTAAGGCTGACTAGGGTTAGGGTTAACGGTGATAGTAAGGCTGACTAGGTATGCGGGAAGTCGCGCAAGTATTTTTCGGGGTCATCTTCCGTATCACAGCGCGAGACATAGTGCCCAAAATAGGTTGGGTTCGTCCGGCCCATGAGCCCATGGATGGTGTTTTTTCTTTAGTCGCACAGCTTTTCGGGCACAGCATTATGCCTGTATGTGTATACTAGTGACGTTTTCAGCAACGCCGTGAACTAATACCATGCACACACAGCAGTTGCAGCTCGTCTTTTACAGTTGGCGGGGGTTGTCTTGCAGCGTGGCGATGTCAGGAATTCTGGTCGTGCAAATAGCAGCAAAGTAGTACTTTGCGCTGCTGGTGTAGGGGAATTTCATCAGTCCTTTTTCTTCGTCGCTCTCGCGCTTTTCGGTACTTTTCCGTTGCGGGAAAACTTAGCGACACAATGTTGGGCGGTGTGAGCACAGCCAAGTATAGTGCTCTGTACCCTCTGGTGTAGATATTTTAAAATTGGATATTTTCGTTTTTGTTGATAGCAGTTCTATTAAGCTCATAGAAGTACGTATATAGGTAGCCCTTTTCCTTCGTCGTTGTCATGAATTTCGTCTTGTTTTTCTTTGCAGGGATTCCGTGGAGAGTCGTTAGGTGTTTCGTGATTTGGGAAAGATAAAAGGAAGTACTAGACCTGCTTCAATATCAACGGCTGTGGCACTTCCTTACGCCATGTAATATTGCTTTCTGTGCTCACCTACCTTGTGGGTGTTGCTTTTAAGTAACGAGGGCATTTTCAGAGAGGGACAACACGTGAACGTGAACAACATCACGTGCGTTGTTCCCAGCAGCCTCTCTCCTGGAAGAGACGCATCGCCACATCCTCCTGGACACTAATTGTCCCCCACTTACTCACGGGGAAGTTCTCTGGCCGTCCCTCTCGAGGTTGTTCTTTGTAATAATCCACGGCGGGGAAAACATTACCCAACCCCCCAGAGGATTTTCACCTCCCCTCCCTCCCAGAGGTTACCGTTTTACCACCCCTCTAGAGGTTTGTTTGCAATTATCCACGGCGAGGGAAACAGTACCTATTCCCCTAGAGGATAGGTGAAACCAAATCCTCTCAGAGGATAGGTGAAACCAAATCCTCTCAGAGGGTAGGTCAAACCAAATCCTCTAGAGGATTGCCCAAAAAAAAAAGCTCTGATTTGCTAGAGGATTGCCCAAAAAAAAAAGCTCTGATTTGGTAAAAAGGTTATCCCCCCAGAGGAAACCCTCACCCAATGCCCTGGAGGATCACTGCCCGAAATTGCGGTTTCACCTTTCCTCTATATAATAGAGGGTTTTCACCCTAGCCATTTGTCTACCTGTGTGTCTGCATTTATCTGCAATTGTCCGAGGGCAAACAAAATAATAATATTAATAATAATAATAATAATAATAATAATAATAATAATAATAATAATAATAATAATAATAATAATAATAATAATAAAAATAATAATAATAATAATAATAATAATAATAATAATAATAATAATAATAATAATAATAATAATAATAATAATAATAATAATAATAATAATAATAATAATAATAATAATAATAATAATAATAATAATAATAATAATAATAATAATAATAATAATAATAATAATAATAATAATAATAATAATAATAATAATAATAATAATAATAATAATAATAATAATAATAATAATAATAATAATAATAATAATAATAATAATAATAATAATAATAATAATAATAATAATAATAATAATAATAAAAATAATAATAATAATAATAATAATAGTAATAATAATAAAAATACAAACAGCAGTGCAGCAGTGTTTAGTTGCTGAGCATACATGATTAGCTTTACATGACACACGTAGTGACTTTTACTTTGTAGACTATTCACATCTTGTTCAACGTACTTCGCTCACAAGGACGAAAGCGGAACACGATGGCTAAACTTGTCACGACAGAAGCAGCCAAACTGCGGCTCAAAAACAACGAGAGGGCTTCACGAGTACTTGGTGTACATACGTAGTCCATCGAATGCTGTAGCTGCAACTTTAGTCTCTAATCACGAGCGTTATAGAGTAGTATTCATTGATTGTATTTTTCCAACATACGACGAGAAGCACCTTCCTCCTGATTCAACCGGGCTCATAAATGTAACAAGATTTGACGGCGCTGAACACCACTTTACACCTCCTGCTGCGCGTTTCGAGGTACGTTGTGCGGGCTGGAAGCTGGACGCAGAGCGCGAGGAAGGAGGAGGGCTGCAAACAGTCTTGAAAGAGCAAAAAAAAAAAAATGGGTTTATTAGACGGTACAGCAGAAGCATTTTGTGCGCTGCTGCTGTGTGATGCCGCCGTAGAGGTACTGTAGGTAGTCGCGCCTGCCGCGTCGGATCACGTTTTTGGGGTGGTGACCAATCCAGGGCTGCCAACGCACTTGGGGCACAGATGGCATCTCCATCGTACAGATGTCCAGTGAACGGTCATGAGGCAGGTGACTCTCTTTCACCTACTAGACTACTGCTCTTGACACCAGAGTTTGTTCGGGCGGGCGGGCGGGCGGGTTATCAGGAACACTGCTGTACAGCAGCAGTACACGACTACAGCAGTGATCACCCGGAAGTTAACCACTTACCTATGGGAAGGAAGGTTGGGCCCCAATCGTCATCAAGGGGCAAGATAGCCTGAGTTGCCTGAGACAAGAGCTGATAAACTGTTGTGGCTGGATGTTGAGTAGCTTTGTGCGTCGGTGCCTTGGCGCGCGGGGTCCCTTTGTTCAGGAATAAAAGAGCCAGCGGCGCGGTAGCCGCCAACGGTACAGCAGTATAGGAACTATGATGGGCGTGACAGTCTTCTACTTTGGGATGGAGCGTGATAGCTCGGGTATGGTATCTCTGGATGTGGCGTGGAAGCCTGGTGACGTGATAGCCATGGTGATAGCCAGGGTGCAAACGAATATGTACGGACATGGATGTCCGGAAGGCGGGATAGCCGGGTGGCGTGATAGCCAGGATTGGCGTGAAAGTCGTGGCGTGATAGCCGTGGTAGCGTGATAGCCGGGGAAAAGGACTTGATTGACACAGGAAGGAGGAAAAAGAGGAAAGAAAAAAGTGAGAAACCACACCACACAATCACCATATCCGTTGTAGACACACACATACCCCCATCCTCAATCCTGTAATATACGGGTACCATCAAATCGAATCCAAAGCAACGAGACACACATACATATACCCCCACACTCAATCAATCCTTCATGATATAGACTTTACGGCAAAGTTGGTACCATCAAATCGAATCTAAAGCAACGGTTGCTTTAGATTCGATTTGTTTGATGGTACCAACATTTAATGCCGTACATATACAAGATTGAGGGTGGGGGTATATGTGTGTCTACAACGGATATGGTGATTGTGTGTTGTGGTTTCTCACTTGTTTTTCTTTCCTCTTTTTCCTCCTTCCTGTGCAATCAATTCCTTTTAACTCCCCGCTCCATCTGCTCGGAAATTTCTTGCTTGCAATAATCTGTGCTAACGGCTAACAGCCCCCCTACTCGCTACATTGACAAGACCACACCCGGACTTTAATATACTATCCTTACTATCATCCCGTACATACCACATACCTGACCGAAACAAAGTTTAGTGCAAGACATTCCCTTCATCCCAAACTGCATTCTTGTCACAACACTAAAACCCTTAAACCAGAAACATTCGTTAGAATTCCTATCGGTTTGCATCATTGCCAACCATTAAACCAGAAATACTTGCGACAATTTCCACCGACCGGTCAATCTTGAACTTGATTTCTCAGAAAATCAAACAAATCAACACAAAAACCAAAAATCGAAAAAAACAACGCTCACGCTATGGATTCGTTGCTAATCTATCTTTAGACATATAGGAGTTTTTTCCGCGCGCGAAGCGCGCGTGGGAAAAAAAAAACGGAGCGATAGCGGAGTTTTTTTTTCCGCAAAAAAACTGTTTGAGATGGGTCCTTTTTGTTTCCCCGCCTGGGTTCTGCGCACGTTGAATAACACCGCCTGTCAGCCCGACCCTTGAATTGATTACTCTTCTCAAATTGATGTCCGTGTGTTGTTGTTGTTGTTGTTTCTCACATTAGCTCTAAAAAAAAAAAAGATTGGAGCCCGTGGTCTCAAAACCCGGCATACACGACCCCACGAAGAAACAGAAAAAAATAGGGTACAAAAACCACTCGGAAGAGAAACAAAATGATAGAAAGAAAGACCAGCTACCGCACCAAACGAGAAAGAGCGTCGAGGAGACCGATCAAAATAAAATAAAAGGAGAACGGGGAACGCTTCCCACACCCGCCTACAACGCCGGAGGGTTCCGTGCCGGGTTCCC